CATTGATCCCGGTGTATATAGGCAAAAAAGCTGTTGATCCGCAACAAAGTATGTATGATATCTGCCGAAATTAATATGATCCAAATAAGACAGCATATAACTGTAGGTTCAAATGTGGATTCTGTTATAATTCATCTACCAGATGACAGTAATGTCGCTATCGGTGAATCTGTAAAGTTATTTCCATTACAGTTATGGGTTTGATAGTGATTTTTTTATGGTCTTTACGCTTTGATGGGATCGTGAAATCTGCAATTACCGCAAAATTAGCAATTGTAAGAAACACTGAACGTTTTAAAGGTATAGAAGTCGTTGGCTGTGGTTTTTTTGAATATCTGACTTCACTCCTGAGTTTTTTTTGGATTTTTCATCATCTCGCTCTGTTTTGCAAAATGATTGGCAATCAAAAATTTTATAAAGTGGTATATGAATCATCCTTAGTAAGCAGTTGAGCATAGAAAAAAATCATTGGATGAACTGGTATCTGAAATAAAAGACTGTATGCCTGTTTCAAAAAATTCTTTTTTCATAAAAGTGAAAGATAATACATTTTGTGTTGGACATAAAGAAATTGGGCTTGAATTGCTCTACCATATTCTACATAAATAAAGTCTAAATATATTACCAGTTCATTTATTTCATAAACTTTGCAATGATCCGTGACAATAATTGTGTCAATGACAAATAATGACAAATAATTGTGTATGGTAATAATGGCTCAAAAAACAATGTGTTCGCATGTTTAACCAGCTACGTTGATGGATTATCTTCGTTAACTGTCAGTTATCGATCAAAGAGTATATGTTGTTGATAATTACATAATTTTTTTATCGATTAATTTACGTTGAAGATATGTAAATAAGTTCATATGGTGAATTTGCAAAACGTTTGTATACATAGTTAATTACTTTCCATTCTTTTAGATCTACAGTAACCACACGTACACTGTGACCGAACATAGAAAAATCATCATTGTAAGAGAATATAATTTGACTCTTATCTACATCTAAGGTTCTTCCAGTCATTACTGCTACTGGTGTTGGTTGTTCAAAGTTCAATTGTTTAATAACACGACAGTATCTTTTATCCAGTTGTTTAAGGGTTAAATTACTCACTGTAAAGTCATATGAATCTTTTCGCCAATTATAGACGGTATAGAATGCTTCATTCATTACATATAAGTTATTCAAATATATAAGATGATCAAGTTTACAAAGTGGTCTAATCATCAATGTGTTGATTTCAATTCCGATCAAGTCTGTTTGTGTACGGTAATATAAAATGTTTTCTAAAATATCATACGCGCTACCTATATCCGGTTTTCCCTGTGGCGTGAGATCTATTCGTTCTTGCAGTGTCAGTGTATCAGGATCGATTACCCATAGGAAACTTGACTGACCATCGCGTGTGGTTCCAATTGCGTACAAATGTTGGTTGTTCAAATCAAAATGTAATGCTGTTAACGTGACATTGTAAAACTGTCCTTGATGTGTTTCATTTGTTTTTATATTGTGACGCATCAAGCAAGATATATCCGGGAGTGGTGGAAAGGTTTTCTAACTTGTAAATATGTTATTTTGTGTTCTATCAACAGCAAACACATACTGATTGTAATGCCATGAATTTTTGTCAGGAAATTCTGAATCTGGTATAAAATCATAATTCATCAACAATTTAGTTTCCATCGTCATTGGATTGTAGAAATTTATTTTGAAATAATCATACGACAGAAAGATTGAAGATACACATGGTATTATAATGAGAAGTAAACAAAGGAGTTTTATTATTAAACTCATAGTAAAAACACGTAGATTGATAATGTTGATGTTTCTTTACAAAATAACTTATATGTTAATTCCTACAGTTGCACAAAGCGTTAAATATAAAAGATAACGGTGGCACGATATTGAAAGGTATGTTAATATTTGTTTTTCGTCATAATGTCAAGCAGTGTATAACTTTCTTATGGAAAAATAGGCAGCAGATGATCAAAATGTGTGTAATATTTCATTTGGACAAACCGAAATAGAGACCAATCGTTTAGAATTTTACATGTGGCATTCATTTTTGAACCTGAAGTTTTTCGCAGCTTGCTAGAATGTTTACTGGTATAATCAAACTCGAAAAGATCGAACCATTATCAGCCAAGACTTAAGACAGAATTAATGACTAACAGAAAAAGATAACCAATAGGTTTATACTGCTGTTTGAATAGTGTGATGGTTGATGCGAACGTCTCAAGATTTCATAATCTATCGCTAATTAATTAGATTTATGAATCACTAGTTCGAAGAGCACAAAGTTCTAAAAACTAAATGTGACGATTAAACATAAGTTAAGAGCCATTGCACGTAAGCCACGACCGACGTTCTTCAAACGATATTCTCGAAACTTTTCCAAAGTAGAGGGCTTTTGTAGACCAAACATTTTAAGGAATTTTGGTAAAAGGCGCAAATCAAAAAGTTGTATCGTTGCTGAGATATTGATATTTTACGAAAAGCCCTGAAAAACGTAGATTCCGCCATCTTGAAAATTTGCCAAATTTAAACTCTTCTAACGCAGTAACAACAGATTACTTAACCTTGGCGATTTTACCATAAGTAGCAGATACTGTCTACTACAAATCCGCGCAACCGCGAGCTCACTAACATAAAGTAAGATAAAATAAACGCTGCCATCAGATTTAGCGTGCTGAACTATGTACTTATCTTCTTCTTTCAAGGTCACTGGAAGCCACTGTGTGCCAGTCCTGGTGCTCCATGGAAATCAGATACCACTGCCAGATCACTCAAAATCAAAGTCTCGCTTGGCTTCCATTTTGAAGAGGACAGTTTAGGCTAATTACTCACAAAAAAAACCAATCTATTGCTGCTTTATCACTTAGAGTTACAAAACGGTTTTCTAGAGATCCGCCAGAAAACCGGTCACTGAGAAGTACTTTCCACTTTATTTTAGTTATAAAAAGATAATTTAAAGTCTTAGCTATCTAACCGCAAAAATCAGAAGTCTCTATCGTTTTTCGTTCTTCAGTTATTCAAAAACCACTGACCGGCATATGAAAATCCATCAGAAGTGAACCTATTGGAAGTACTCTCGGTGAAACTCGCATATTGAACCGCATTAATAACAGAATTAACTTGTTGTTGTATTACCGTTGAATTCCTTGTGAAAAGTTGGATATCAAACTGATTTTTATTGAAATTTTAATATACTATAGCAGAAATGTACTGATTGAAGCAAGCGTCTAGAACTCGGTGCCCCCGACCGTGCCCCCTAAGCCATTTTAGCGAAACCCACAAATCGCCGTATGTAGACCCGACAAGCACGACACAAACGGTTCCTATCACCACTTCTTCAACAAATTCATTCGAACAATATACTGTTCAAAGGCAAAAACGTCAGTTGATCACACAGCCAATCACCGAAAAAACAAATTA